CATTTATCTTCATATAATTGCTGACCATTTGTGTATCTTCTTGGAAGGAATGTCTATTCAAATCCCTTGCTCTCTTTTTAATTTGGTTATTTGTCTTTCTATTGTTGAGTTGTAAGAGTACTTTACATATTGTAGATGCTACAGGTATATATGATTTACAAATATTTTGTCTTATTCTGTGGGTTCTTTTTACTTTCCTTTTTTTTTTTGAGTCGGAGTCTCACTCCATCAGCCAGGCTGGAGGGCAGTGGCATGCTCCCTGGCTACCGCAGCCTCGACCTGCTGGGCTCTGGAGATCCTTCTGCCTCAGCCTTCCAAGTAGCTGGAACTACAGGCGTTCATTACTACGCCTGGCTAGTTTTTGATTTATTGTAGTGATGAGGTCTCGCCAAGTTGCCTGGGCTGGTCTCAAACCCGTTGCCTGGGCTCAGTCAATTCACTCACCTTGGCCTCCCAAAGTGCTGGGATTAGAGGTTGAGCCACCGAGCCCAGCCTCTTTTTACTTTCTTTATATTGTCCTTTGATGCACAGCAGTTGTAAATTTTGATAAAGGCCAACTCATCTATTTTTACTTTGCTTGCTTGTGCTTTAGCCATTGTGTATAAGGAACCAATGCTAACTCAAGATCATTAAGACTTGAACCTATGTCTTCTCCCAAGAGTCTCAGAATCTTATCTTTAGGTTTCTGACCCATTTTAACTTAATTTTTACATATGATGTGAGGCAGAGGTCCAACTTTATTCATTTGTGGATATCCATTTGTCCCAGTGCCATTTATTTATTTTTCCTTTGCCTGTGGGCTCAGGCAATCCACTTGCCTTTTAATTCTAAAGATGTGGAGTACAATTCATGGTTAGGTATACAAATGTTCATTATGCAGGTACGCTTGTTGATGAGGTGTGCCTCCCCTTCCCCAGGCAGATTCCCACTACTGCCAATCCCGCTTCCCACCCCCCCGCCTCCACCCCCCGCGTTCCCCAACCCGGCAGTTTCCAGCTACTACCAGTCCTTTTCTTATAGTATTACGATAATCGTTCAGGGTCCGCTTATGAGCACAATTCATTAAAAAAATTATTCTTTTTCCATTGAACAGCTTTGGTACTCTTGTCAAAAATCAGTTGACCAGAATGCATGGGTTTATTTCTGAACTCTCACTTCTATCCCATTGATCTATATATCCATTCTTATGCCAGTACTGTTCGACTATCATAGCTTTATAGTAAGTTTTGAAATTATTTTGAAATAATTCAAGTGAGTCCCCCACACTTGACTATTCTGGGTCTCTTGCATTTCCATGTTAATTTTAGGATCATCTCATCAATTTCTATAAAAATAAAAGCCAGCTGAAATTAGGATAGGAATTACACTGGATGTGTAGGTCTATTTGTCTTCTTTAATTTCTCTCACTGATGCTTTGTACTTTTCACTGCACAAAACTTGCACTTTTCCTGTCAAATGTAAAAGTACTTTATTTATTTATTTGATGCCATTGTAACTTAAATTATTATTATTATTATTATTTTGAGTTGGAGTCTCACTCCATTGCCCAGGCTGGAGGGCAGTGGCACGCTCACGGTCACCCCAGTGTGAACCTGCTGGGTTCCAGCGATCCTTCTGCCTCAGCCTTCCAAGTAGCCGGAACTACGGGCATGTGTTACCGTGCCCAGCTAACTTTTGATTTTATTATAGAGACATGGTTTCACCAAGTTGCCTGGGCTGGTCTTGAACCTGTGGGCTCAGGCAATCCACTCGCCTTGGTCTCCCAAAGTGCTGGGATTACAGGTTGAGTCACTGAACCTGGCCTAACTTGAATATTTTTAAATTTTATTTTTGGATTGTTCATTGCTAGTGTGTAAAAATACAACTGACTCTTGTACATTGGTTTTCTGTCCTGCAACCTTGCTGAACTTTGATAGGTTGTTTGTGGGTTCTTTAGGGTTTTTTATTTAAAAGAATTTGCCACCTACAAATAGAGATAGTTTTGCATCTACCTTTCTGACATGAATGTCTTTGATTTCTTTTTCTTGCCTAATCACTCTGTCTAGAACCTCCAATACAATGAGGAACAGAAGAGGCAAGAGCAGACATCCTGCCTTGCTTTTATCTTGGGGATAAAAGCTTTTGGTCTTGTCTCTTTCACTGTGATGTGAGCTGTAGATGTCCTCATCAGGTTGAGGGCGTTACTATGTACCCTCAACTGTGATGTGAGTGGTGAATGGTCCTCATCGTGTTGAGTACGTTACTGTGTACCACCACCTCGTTGAGTGTTTTTATCACACAGGGGTGTTGGGTTTTGTTAAGGGTGTTTCTGCATCACCTTCCATTTTCATTCAGCCTTTACCTTGCTGGTAAGTCCTTGCTTACAAACTGCACATACCTATTACAATGCCACTAGGAGCAGACAGAAAATACTACCAGAGATGAACCTATTCTACTTTGTTGAGTTTTTGCTATTACACCTATATTATTGAGATGTGAAGTTTTGCCCTTAGACCTTCTAACATAAATAAAAACCAATGAAACAGCGATTCATCTGAGAAGGCTGGAAGCCATGGGTTATTAAAAAGCTCCCAGAGAACATTTGCCTTTTGCTGATCTTGAAAGTCAGAGAAAGGGCAGAGAAAAGCATTCATTTTGTCAAGGATGGTTGACTCTGCCAAATTCAAGTCCAACCTCAAGTCCAAACTCTCCTTAGTCTGTGTGGGTTCAGGGATGTACCATCTGATTCTGTATTTGGACAGGCTAAGCTGGCAGACAGGCTCAACATTGTGCACGTAGCAGCAGCAGATAAAGTGATGCCAGCTTAGCAGGAACTTTAAATGCAAATGATGAGCACAGATCCTGCAGGACCAGTGGACACTCATGTAACACTGGTCTATTTTTTTTTTTTTGAGTTGGAGTCTCACTCTGTCACCCACGATGGAGTGCTGTGGCACGCTCACAGCCACCCCAGTGTCGACCTGCTGGGCTCCGGCAATCCTTCCACTTCAATCTTCCAAGTAGTCGGAACTACAGGCACATGCTATCATGCCCAGTTAACTTTTGACTTATTATAGAGACGAGGTCTTGCCAAGTTGCCAGGGCTGGTCTTGAACCCGTGGACTCAGGCAATTCATTTGCCTCGGCCTCCCAAAGTGTTGGGATTACAGGCTGAGTCACCGAGCCTGGCCTATTTTTTATTTTTACATCAGAGTCTCACTCTGCAACACAGGCTGAAGTGTAGTGTCACGATCATAGCTCACTGCTGCCTCAACCTCTCAGGCTCAGATGATCCTTCTGCCTCAGCCTCCTGAGTAGCTGGGACTACAGGTGCTCTGCCACGCCCAGCTAATACTTTGATTTTTTTCTGTAGAGATGAGATATCGCCATGTTGCCCAGGCAGGTCTTGAACCTCTGGACTCAAGCAATCCTACCACCTCTGCCTCCTATAGTGCTGGGATTATAGACATGAGCCACCAGGTCCAGCCATGGGGTCTATTTTTTATTGAATCTTCTCAGTAATGTAGGAAAAGCAACGTCATTTGTCCAGCTCATAAAATTACTTTGAAGAGTACATTGTTATCATTGTTATTGTTATGAAAGGAGTTAGGCCTTAGCGTGAATCAAAAATGTATTAACATTATATTTTAATCAAACTTTTGTTAAACTTTTCATTTAAGAGAAAAACCCTTGTGGTTTCCACTGGAGTTCTTTGAATTCCTTTACCCATTCAACATCGTGAAGCCTCGGGCTGGTGATGTGATCAATACCACGTGATCATCTCTGCTCAGGCAGTGTTTCTGAAACTCCTGTACAGACATTGCTCCTGCATTGTTATTTTTTTTAAATTCAGGGACACATGTGCGTGTTTGTTCCAGGAGTATACATATGGCACACTGGTGGGGGTTGGGCTTCTAGTGTACTGGTCACCCAAGTGATGATCATTATACCCGATCAATGTGCAGGTAACTTTCCCACCCTCGCCCCTCCCACACGCCTCCTTTTGGAGTCTCTAGGATTTGCAATTTACAACTCATGTCCACGGGCACCATTGTCTAGTTCCCACCTATCAGCAAAAACATGCAAGTCTGGTTTTCTGTTTCTGAGTCAGTTCACTTAGGATAATGACCTCCAGCTCTTTCCACGTTGCTGCAAAGAACACGATTTCATTCTTTTTACGGCTGTGTAGTATTCCATGTCTGTGCAGATCCCACGTTTTAGAAACCCAGTCAACCACTGGTGAACACTTAGGATGGTCCCATGACTTTACTATTGTGAGTAGTGCTGCAATAAGCATATGAGTGCAGGGTTTCATTTTTATATAAAATCCCCCTTTTTGTAAGGATTTCTTTCCTTTGGGTAGATTCTCAGTAGTGGGATTTCTGGGTCAAGTGACAGTTCTGCTCCTGTATTTAGAATTAGAGTCAATTACGCACGACTGAATTTTACAAACCAACAATCTTTTTTTGTGTGTGACCTAGCCACAAACCAACAATCTTTATATGGAGAAACAGAGTGGAAAGGTGCCCACATGTGTGTTGAGGGTGTTTCTGCTTCTCCCCAACACACACACCTTCCCAGGCCTTGGAGCTTCTCTGGCCCTAGACCCTGGGGCTCCCCAAATCACTAATCAGGTGTTTTATTACCTGAAGTATAGATAACTTTCTCAATTTTTGGTTGCGACAAAAATTGGCTCCATTGTGACGTTCCAGCTTCACCTTTGATATCAGAAACCTCTGCTGTCTTACCAGTTTGGGTTTGAAAATGGCAGAAGTTTAAAGCGAGTCTACCGTATTTCAAAGAAAAAGTTTCAAACTATTAAATTTAACTAACGGCGTCAGTGGGAACCTTATAATATTGACCCTGCGCATTGTAAAGTATATACTGCCTATGATAAAAAAAAGAGATGGTTTAGCACTTGTTTACAATACAGCATGAGGTATTTTCAGCCCTTGTATAGAAATTAACCAGGATCGTTAGTTAATTAACACCTCACCTTAAAATTGGTCTCGCCTTGCATATTAGGTGCTGATATCTCTTGATGGATGATGAAGAGATTGTGGGCAAAGGTCATGAGGACCCCCTGGAGACCCTCGCCGATTGTTCTGTTAATGATATCCAAACAAATGAGTTTACCACCGTTTCAGCACAGGCTTAAAAACAATCGCCTCTCATTTGTGCCTGTCTGCTGATGGAATTTAATGAGTATTTTCAATCTCACAAGGTGGCAATCTTCAGGGAGATATGAAAGATGGGGCTCCATTTTAACTTGTCAACAAAAAGGATTTGCGTAATAAATATTTTTTATTAATCAACTTAGCAGAATCTAGCAATGAGGTCAGTCATTTCTAGCAAAAGGCTACCACTGTGCCAAGGACGCTGCATGGGCTCGTTTCAAAAATGGTTCCAGTGAGGTTAGAGGATGGCCACTGAGTGTGATGCGAGCCTCACAGTGCCCTGGTCCAACAACATGGACATCTCGGTGTCCTGGACACTGCTCTCTGGGGCTTATTTTCTATTTCATGAGTTCAAGTGATTCCTGCTACTTAGGAGAGGAGGAGACTGAGCCCCGCTCACAAACAGCTGTCTTTATAAAGCTGAACATCCACGTTAGCGAGACTTCAGAGACAGCCTGCAAACCATCCTGCCGCATTGTACTGTGGTCATGAACGTTCCAGAACAACCAGACCACTGTCAGTTTTAACATGGAAACAAAACTCTAGGGTATTTTCTAGCTATTTTTTGGAATGTTCTTTGTCAAAGGAGAAAAAATAGGCTAAATGACTGGATTAATTTTTAAAACCTGTCCTGTCCCAAGGTAGTGCACCAAAGGAATGGCCCCTTGAGGCGGCTGCCAACACTTTGGGGATGACTCTTCCACAGCAGTTACCTGAGAGTCTAAGGCTGGCCCTTTGGGACAGACTGGAGGCAGAGCTTCCCAGTCCCTCGGGTAGGAGCCCAGGGTTATGTGTCCTGCCACTGCTGTGTGGCTCTGGGGAAGTCACTCAAGCTCTCGGGGTTTTCTTCTCCTTTTTTCTGAAAGGAGGGACCTGGATGAGCCCAGCGCTTCCTGATCTTTGGTGTCACATTCCCCACATCCAAGGGCGATGCACCCCTCAGCACTAAATTTGAGGGTCTCTTTTAGGAAAATAAACAATAGCCAAAGGCAACTTCTGTCCATTAATTTAAAGAAGTAAGGTGCATTTTACTGCCACAGGGTCAGCATGTGCTTCTTAAACATCAGATTCCTGGACTCTGCCCCAGATCAACACAATCAAAGTCCTTGGGTTGGGGTCCAGGCCTGTGAGTTTCATCAAGCTCCCAGGTGATTCTTCTATATACAAGAAACAGAGGACCATTCGAATGTTAGAGACACCGTAGGGATGTGCGTGGGGGTGAGAGCGAGACAGAGGCTGGGTCCACAGATGGCTTTAGGCCCTCTGGCTCCCTTCCCTCAGCCTCCTAGGGCCATGGTCCCCAGACTGGGAACTAAGGGGCTGGAGGAACTCCAAGTCTCCTCCCTTACTAGTGCATTCATTTCTTGAATTTCCTTCATTTTCTCCTCCGATTCCTCTATTTCTCAGAAATACCCCAGAACAAATGGGTTTGGCTTGAAGTTATCCCAGAAAAGCCAAACCACACATCTCTGGTTTGTGAAACCAACCCTGTGGGAGTCCCACCTTCCCTAAAGAGGTGACTGATGTTATTCACAGCATGACCGATGGCAATAAAACCAAATGATCAGCCCCAACAGAAGCTTCAGGGAAAATCAGACAACAAAAAGAAAGCATGAGCTCTAGAAAACAGGACTGTCCTGGTCATGTCTGCGAAACCATCCATCCTCCACCTCCCGAGTTCACACCTTGGTGCAATTCCGGAAACACTGGCTGTAATTCCAGTCTTTTATCTCATACTCAAGAGGGCACAGCCAGCTGCAAGGGGGACTTCCGGGGATACTCTTGGCCTCCTCTAATATTCAAAAAAAGGAAATGAGCAAAATCTGAACCAACTTGCCCAAGGAGCTATGTGCCCCCAAAGCTGAGGGTCTTCTGTTATTTACGAGGGCTCCCCAGACAAGGCGGCCAAGCAGTGTAGACTTTGTGGTGTCATGGAAACAACACCAGGGTCAGGGTCAGGAGACAGACAACCTAGCGTGTGACCAGGCAAGTCACATGCCCTCCTCATGCCTCAGTTTCCCATCTATAACATGAGGGCTGATGAACCTCAAGCCATTCCCTGCTCGGATATTCCCCAGTTCTGTGACCACAGAGGGATGGCAACAACATGGGGCAGAAGACGACAGGAAGGGCACAGCATTTCTCAGCCCTCCTGTGCCAACAGTGTCCTTTCTATGGGACGTACAGATCACTATGGCTGTGCAGGACACTCACCAGGCAGACCACTACCATGGCAGCCAGCCCAAGAGGTCAGGCAGCCTCGCCTGGATTGCAGGTGCAGGTGTAGGGAAAGTGGGCGGTTCCTCTCAGCTCCCTGTCTGAATACTCATTCTGTAGAAACACGCCTGCCTCGCTGCGAGGTCAGCCTGATGACTGGGGTTTCTCTGTTCCCAAAATGGTCTCTTCCATCTCCTAAGTTCTTGCCAGACTCCTGTCTGGCCAAGAGCCCACCTGGACGAGTCTTCTTGGGGCCCCCACCTCAGGAGCTCTGCCTCTGCCTTGCTGACATCACCCGTCTCATTCTGTCAACTTTGGGACACAAGTCCTGCCCTAAGTGTTACCTGCTGACAGGCGTGCTTCCTGCCACCTGCTGGCCTGGGTCTCTCAGCAGCCTCCTGGTGAGCTCCTGTGGTTGCGCATACCAGCCCCCCAACGCCCCCCAGCCTCACGTTGACCTTCTAGTCTCTGTGGTTGGAATTTCCCGGCTCTCTGAGCTGGTGCTGCTCCAGGTGGCCTCCAGGTGATCACAAGCCTGGGGCCTGTGTGGGGCCTGTCTCCATCACCCTCACACAGCCCCATCCCATGAGAGTGAGGGCTTGTCTGCTCCAGTCCTGCCCCCGCTGTCCTTTGCAGTTAACCTTCCATGCCTCTGGTACCCAGTAGGACAGAGTTCATGCCTCCACTCCAGGGCCTGGTTCTCGGTCTTTGCTAACTCATCTGCTGGAATCCCTGAGCTCTTAGAAATATACACGGACCAGGAACTCTCTTGCTTAGTTCCAACTCGGGAAGATGTAAGTTTCTTACCCCCACTTGCCAACCTGGGGCTTGGCTCTCTCATCCTTGTCACTCCTGGTGGCCTGTGGCCTGCCCAGCCCTGGCATCATGGTGTCCCATCTGGAGGAAGTGGCATTGTGAGCACTTCTAGCTCCCAGCAGCCTCTGTCCCCTTCCTGGCTCATCAGGGGTGGACACACTGGACCAGGTTCACTGAGTGTTTACTGCGACTGTGGCAGCTTTAGGAAGGCAGGGCCTTGCCTATTTAGCTCACTGCTGTCTCCCCCATACCCACAACGGTGCTAGGCACCGTTCATGAGCGCTTCCGTGTTTTCTGGGAAGTGTGGTTGGCAGGGAGGGAGCAGAGGGCAGAGCACCACTGGAAGCTGAGGTCTCTCCTCCCTGCCCACACCTGGGATGTCCCTGGACAGGAGGATCTGGCAGGCGAGATGCATGCATGCGTGTTGGGATGTTACGGGCTGAGGTCTTGTTTCTGCTGCCACCAGAGCAGTGTAACAAAAGGGTGAAGTTCTACAGGTTTATGGGACTTTGGGAAAGGCTGGAGCTGGGGGTACCTGGCCATTTGTCTTCTTCCCAGGTAAGAGAAGCACAGAGACTGCGTGCACTTGATTAACTGCAGCCATGTTCTCGCTCCAGAGGGAAAGAAAACAAAACACCCATGTCGCCCCACAGGACTGATGGGGTGATGCCACGGCATCAATCATGGTCTTTTAGAACTGACAGTGCTCTCGTAGAACAAACGACTGTGTTCTGGATGGGGGTGTGGAGACCTGACCTGGCACCCATTTTCAGGGTTCACCTCTTGGGACCAGTTTCCAGGGGCCTGACCATGCTGTGGGGAGACTGAGGCTGCACAGAAGCATCAGTGCAAGGGAGAGGAGCTGGCTCCTCCTTAGTTCGTTTTTATGAGTGCATCTCTCTCTCTCTCCCTCTCTCTCTCTCTCTCTCTGTGTGTGTGTGTGTGTGTGTGTGTGTGTGTGTGTGTATGTGTGTCCACCATGTCCACACTGCTGTAGAAGTTATAAGGAGGAGAGACACTAGGCAGAAATGGTTTCCCAATATGATAGGACAATTAAAAAAAGAACTGGCATCTACATGCCAGGATATAAAGTAGGAGGTAACTCACAGCTGTAGCTCTGGACTCCCGAGTCCAAAGGGAGGAGACAGCTCTGGCCTCCACAATGTCCTGGAGAGAATTCTGGAAAGCTGAAGGGGGAGGGGAAAGACCTCCGTGCGCTGCAGGCTTCCTACACATACATACCTGGGGAGGCTATAGTAGGCCGGAACTGGGTCTGAAGGGCTACAGGCCCACCTGTGAGGGAACCAGAGCCCTTTCCAGGTGTGCCAGAGTGACACCTGCCTTTTCACAATCGGGGCATCCACAGTGGCTCCCTGGCAGACCTGGCCTGCCTACAGGTGTGTGTTTTGGGGGTGAGATGCTGGAAGCCTAAACACTCACCTGTCAGCATTGAATAATCACTCAATCAACTTATGAATGCCCACCCTCACGCCCGCAGTCATCTTCTATAATACCTGAAGGTCTAAATAAAACAAGGAAGACTTCCAGCAGGCTAGCACACTGGTTCAAGTGCGTGGGAAACTGTTTCTGGTTGGGTGAGTCTATTTTCTTAACTTGTCAATCTCACACACATGAACCATACTCACAACATCCCCAACTTTTCTCTCTTCAGGTGCTCATACAGGATAAAAATCGTTCCTTGTCTGTCCTGTAAAATTTGAGTGGGGAGAAAAGAATTTGAGAGGGGAGAAAAGAGATTGCAACAAAGAAAATAAATGGAAACAAAATATAGAAAATGTTCCTGGCACAGAAAGCCCACTAAGATTGATTTGAAGTCTGGAGTTGCATCAAATATTGTGAGAAGCACATTGAGAAGGTCGTCCTCAGACTGGTCG